ATACATAAAAAAATTAAGATTATTTCTTTGGTATTCAGATGATTGTTTAAAATACTCTGCAACCTTAGTGTAATTATTATCTTTGTACCAGACCATCGCGCTGACCTAGTCATTGAAATCACTAAAAGGTCTAACTATACACATATACATGCTGAAATGCCACTTTCATTTCCACTGTAAAGACGTGAGTTGTGAAATTGTGAAGTTGGCATCTCATGAGAGGATTGAGCAGATTATCACCAAGGGGTTGGGCGACACAAAAATTTCTGCAGGGTGAGTGTCAGAAATGTTTGGTATTCCTGATGCAGATGCAGATGCAGATGCAGAAAACAATGATAAACACCAGTCCTCGAACTGTTGTTGTTCATATCCTAAGTTAACCTCAGGTCACCCTACATGTCAACAAATATTGAAGTTGAATCGATGCTGAAAGTCAATTTGTAAGTTTCTAATGTACCGAAACAATTTCTGTATAGAATGGGAAATCTAGTCTAAGATGAAATTATTCAGTATATGAGTCAATGATACAAGTCATAAGTGTAGATAATAAGTAATTAGGCAACTTCACATCTTTAAGAAACCTTTCGTCTTAAGACCGACAATTGCACAACGTGTTTTGTAAAATGAGCTCGGTTAAAACAAAGAAGACCCTGACATGTATCTGCAGACGATCTTTTTGATTCGTTTTTTTGTGATTCAGTTCAATTCAATCTCAGTTAATTATATAGCATGAGAAGAAATGACACTATGTAGACTAAGTCTAAACTGTTTCAAGACAAATTTAGTTTCTTTATAAATCTAATGATTGATTGTTTAAAAAATTGATCGTTTAAACATTCCATTTCAGTTTCACTTCTACGCAAATGTATTCTCAATCATAGCTTTAGGGAATCGCAACCGTTTCTCCATTTTTTACTCAAATAAAAAATAGAATAGTATAGAAACCGTTGTTATTTTCTTGTCTAGGTTTTTAATAGTATAAGTATTGAAAGCAGGGGGGACGTGGGAGGAAGAAGTGAAAGCTAAATCCAGGAATTGACTTTCAAAAACAGGTCAACTTTAACCGCCAATCCCTTCAAATAGTTCTACATATTGTAGGCTAATCAAAATAATTCTGCAACTTATTACCAAAAACGATTTCCCTCTAATTTTCCTTTTGAATGGATACTATAAATAGAGTCAGTTTTGTACTTTTGTCAGCATTGTATCAATAAATACTATCGATATATGACTGAAGATATATAGTTTGATGGAGATAAATGAAACTTTATATAACAAGGTCGGGTTAGTCTTGATAGTCATTGTAAACCAACATTATGGTATGTTTCTATAGATCTTTAACTATGGTGAATTTAATAATAAATTAATCAATCTCCCCAATTTCTACCAGTAATATTTGATCGTTCTCTAGTGTACATTAACCCAAATCCTCCCTAATAAATGTTTAAATAACGGTAGTTACAAACAGACGTAAAGTAATGTTACCCATATGGGTAAATGGGTCTATGTCACAAACGCAGGGCAACGTATGTGTTCTTGTGATACAGTAGAGTAATCAGACATGCCATGCATACTCATTGTTTCCATTATAAGGACAGTAAATAAACTTTAAAAGCTTCATTGATTAAAATTATTCGCGCGTAGAGAAAACAATTTTTTTTACACATTTCCTTCAATTAAAGTGACAATAAAGCTAAAGTTGCTCTGGATGAGCTATAGGTAAAGTTAAAGGTTATCAAAAATATTTTGGGCATGTATTACTTTAAAATTAAGTGTGAGCTAACGTACAGAGTATATTTTTGTTATTTATATGAAATTTACATTAAAGGTTTTTTCTTATCAAATTAATATAATATTTAATCATGGCAATTAATATTGACAATTCATAAACGGCCCTGAGAAAAACGGACATAAAAGGATGTCCCACACCATTAATCCCTGTTATTTGAAAATAAATATAAAAGATTGAAGGTATATCAAATAACCTGATTGATAGAGTCTATAAGACAGGGCGCTCTATTATTTCAATGTCAATTGTTATAAGATATTCTAACCCTTGTGTAATTATTAAATTAATATTTATTATATAGTATGAATAATTGTTTTGTTCATAAGTATGTGAACAGCTTAAATCTTAGACAATATCTCTCACAGAGGTTAGATAATTCAATAGAAGTACATTTAAAAATTCTTATCTTAATGATCTCCTGTGGATCATATTGGAATTAAGGATAATATGGAGGTTATATATTGAGGTCAGCGTTCGTACATGCCAAGAATCAAGCCTTTGTTCAAGCTTTATCATTACATTATGTATTCTGAGTAACAGACTAGAGTCAAAATTGGCATCTGTGTAAGAAGCTAAGTTTTTAGACGAATGCAGAAATCACGCGAAAACATGTCGGTTTTACATCGCCCTGGGTCAGAAAAAAAAAGTGTGAACAACGTCAAATTTCGCAAATTTCTGTGGCGATTTTTATAATTAAATACGAAGTATTTACAAAATTGTCATTACATGAAATTTCTGAACGTTTGTACTATAAGGCGTAGACAAGTAGGTCATAATTACCATTTCATTCACGTTGACATTATTCTTCACTACCTACAACGAATAAGTTAAATGCAGAAAAAGGAACATTTAACTTGAGTCATTCATATCTATTATGCATATCTTGACATATTCATTTATCGTCTGTAAAATATTTATTTCTTTATTTTTGATCTTAAACAAAATGAATGATGGGGAAAAGATAAATGCAGACGATGTGAATATTAAAATCAAAGACAAAGGAATTGACGTAACAGTGAAATATATCATACCATATTTCTAAGTATCAGATAGGCAGGTGAGATATTAGTTTTGATATCAGATGACAGAATCAGTATTTTATCTCTTATCACACGCTACATCAACCATCGTACAATTTTCAAATACTGTATCAGAAAATAATCGAGACTTTATTTTACCGGAAATATGTGTCAATGGCACAAAATATGACACAAAAGCTTACGAATAGTGAACTGTCAAAACGTTTTTAAAATGTTAGTAGTAAGAACTTGGTAATGCTATATAATTCCATTGATGTCCTCTTGTCTATTAGACTAATCCTGACATCGAACACTTATTAATAATACATTTTCATTACGATTTGAATCAGTCTTCCAGATTTAGGTCAGGTTGACATCCAGAGTATAACTTGAAATAGAGCTGCACGCGTGACAAATACATTTGAAATAAGATATCAACTCTTACTGCATACAGTTCTTGTGTTCATTAATTCAGGTATTTCAATCTTTCAATCATTACTATCATTGTCATTGTCCTCTTGTCTGAGATTTGATTACTGACCTTGTAAACGGTTATAAATAACTTTAAGGCCAAGTATAGCGTACAGTTTAACGAAGCATCATAAGGTTGTATATCGGAATAAAATACAGTTCTTCATATTCCTCTTAGTTTTTTCTGAGAACCACTCTATGGGGTGGTTTGTGGTTACAAATATTGTACTCAAGATTGACGAAGACAGCAGCATTAGCTTACCATATGTTTATTTGTATAGTTCATAATTGTATCACACTAGACCTCAGTTTATTGTCCCAACAAAACAATTACACGATCTCTATGCCATCACTGTATTATTGACAGCGTAAAAACCTGGTTAGAGAGCATCTATTCAGAGATTGAACCCCCAAACCTTTATAAGTGACCAAGGACTATAATTGTCATTTGATGACGAAGGTAGCTTGACATTTTGTGATTATGTTAATGTTAATAATAAAGCCGAGGGTAATAAGTGTCAGCTATTATAGCCTAATTAATCAAATAATTGGAATAATTAAGAGCATATTAGCTACATAACACGCCTTGACCTAGTGGATATGATATTTATTCAAATATTGATGATAGGAAAATAAATGGATTTCCTAGGCCGTTTCAAATAGTTTGGATCTTTACATTTTTCATTTGAAATATTTTCCTATTTCAACTTTAATTTTTGTGTAATTGCACTTCTTCTGAAATATAGGCTAATGGTTCACAGAAACCTTACATTTTAAGGTAATGCTCTACGCTTTGGGGATTTTTTTTTTAAAAATCTTTAGGTATCAACTACTTTATTCAGTGTCCATGGTGGAAGTGAGGTAGAGGTTAATATTGCTCATTGATCATCCTTTTCAGCAGTCAGAAAAATGTAATGTGGTATCTATATGAGAATGACGAGAACTTTGTCGAGGAAATATAGTGTATAAGAATTTAATTATTTGACAATATGATGTCAAAAGTAATTTAGAAAGCTTCTTACTACACTTGAACCTTTTAAGATATCTTATTGCTATATAAAAAGAGTATTTCGTAGCCAGTTAAAATTTATTGTAACTTTCAAACAGCATATTATGGTATCTTCAAAGTACCACAATTCCACGTAATCATTAATATTGCCACGTTTTGAGATGTTTGCCTGATTTCTGTTCTACGAAAAAAATAATTTTGGGCACAAAATATTTAAGGTGGGAATAGACTAGGAAGGATGTACGGTGCAGGTGTAACTTTCGATGTCGAAAATAGAAGAAGCGAATACACGAGGTTTGGGTCCATACACCAATGGCTTCTGACATTTTCTTTTGTATCGAAATTCCTGTTATGGATATCATGCCTTGTCCTGCTTCGGTAAAAATTCAGAGTTTCAATATCTTTAAAAATCTTTGAAGAATTATCAGGAACTTTAGTTTTTGAACTCGTGTAATTTAAGAAAAGGCAATAATTTATTTATAAATATTTATTTAACAAATCTGGCTTCAGACTATCACATGTATAGATTATATCATATTAAAAATCAGTTCAAAATGACAGTTTTGTTATACTATTATTACAACTGCCGATGACAAAATGATTAACATTCAATAATCAACAATATAAAATAACGACAAAAACAATAGGATACAAAAAGTGGTCCACTCCTAGTGTATTCACAGAAAAAAAATCAAAGAAAAATGTAAAACGCTCACACCTTTTCTGGCACGTATTGGACTGTCGTTGAAGGAGTGTCGTTTAAATCATTTATTGCTGTGAGTTCATAACCATTTGTCATAGCTCTTGTGGGAGATATGCTCAGAGATCTTGTCGATTTCACAATGTGGCGGAATACACGTAAAAGAGTTTGGCGGAACTTTCTTCCAAAGGCAGTATAAATAAGGAAATTAACCGCAGAGTTTAAAACAAACAAAGTATTGCTGACTGCTAGCCATTTCAGAAATGTTATTAAATCAAAAATATCGAACTGGGCTATCAGACCTGGCGTTTGACAGAATATAAATACCACTACAATCAGCACTAAAACTAAACTCAAATTTGCTTCATTCTCTTCGTGGATATTGGTACCGGACCGTCGTTTTTGCATTCGCATTAATTCTTTGAGAATAAAACAGTTCAAAACAAAGAGCCCTGCCAATGGGATAACATACACTATGATACAGTATAATACGATACTATATACAGTCTTATAGATATAAGTTGTTCCAAAATAGGTGTCAGCTAAAGCTAAACAAGATTGGTTTCCAATTTTCTCATGTTCATTACATTCACGGTAATGGGTTGCAAAAAATCTTGGAATGTTATACGCAACGGAAAACACACAAATACAAATTATCACAATTAATGCTTTGTTTTTAGTGCATATTCTTGTAGCTTTAAACGGGTGACAAATTGCAATGTATCGTTCCACACTAACAGCTACTGTAATCCAAACATTGCTTGTTTGTAATGTCATTATAATAAAATTCATTGGTGTATGTAAAACGGGATAAACCATGTGTTTGTAATATTCTAGCGGCTGTGTGTACAAATAGTTACTCATACTATATGGTGTAATCACTATTACTGACATTATTAAAATTCCAGTATCTGTTATAACAAGGCCCCTTAGGTAAAATATAGTTGGCGATTGCATTTCACGCCGCCACAAGACAACAATGGTAAGCACATTTCCAACTAGGCCTATGGCCACTATAAACGGTAATATTATTCCCCAGAAGACAAACTGTATGAAGAAAGCATCCTGGTAGGCACCTTCTTGATCTTGCATATGTCCTCCAGCGTATGTGAGGTTAACCATCAAATTGAGTTCACCTTTCGTCATTTTGTACTGTTGTTTCCAATCATTAACTATAGAATAACAACATACTTCTTCATTAACTGGAATGAGAAAATATAATTATAGATCTTCGGGCTTGAAGGTGGGAAATCTGCATCACAATTCATAACAAGAAAACTGTCATATTTTAATCATGAATCTACACTATAGTGTAACAGTTGTGGAATACGATTAAGATTTATCACAATATAACAGACAGATAGGTAAATACGCCATCACAACATTATCGTTAATTGTGTTTTATAAAATAGCATAAACTAATTCTTGTTTAATCAGAACAGTTGTTTGGTAAGAATTTTCAAAATCAAGGGCAATAATTATTGTGCTTAAGAAGAGAAATGTTGAACGGACAATTTGGCGAACAGAGACAACGCCAATTGATATACTTCCGCACGTGTGTATAACAATCTAAAACGAGAAATTAAAAATTACTAACTAAAAATGAAATTTGACTTTCAAAAAGCTCAATCTACTTCAAAAATAAATAGAACTGGACTAGCCAATGATATTAATTTTAATTTTGTTCTCGCATCCAAGTTCATACAAAACAATTACAAGATCGGCTACTCGGTGATGGTAACAGTAAATCCGAAACTTATTTGGTGGGATCAGGAAGTACGACAATTGATCAGTTCATCTCAGTAATCCTGAATACATCAAAAGTAACTAATTGCATGTTTATTCTTCAGATGTAAATTCACAGCTCAGCTGTAAATTAATTAATGAAATGCAGTGTTTCGGTATGCTATTTTCACAGGAACACCTGTCAAAAGTATTTTCAAATAAACAACTTTTTCAATTCCACGACTTTTAGCCTGATTTCCCCTCAATACATAATAATTCAATTAAAATTCCATAAGTTAACGGATAAGGGATTGTGTATCTGACACTATTTCAACAGACTGAATATGTTTTTAATATCTGGCGGTTAAAATAACTATTTTATCGATTTCTTCTGGTCGCAACCAATACAATACGTTGACAATTCTTATTAAAGTTGTGACTAAAATCGAATTCAGCTGTAAGATAACTTAACCAAATTTCATAGTATTCGTATACTTCTGATGTAAAATGAACTAAGCTTACGAAATAAAATGCCACATGTTACCACAACCGTTCGCAATTCTGCCAATTTGAAATTTAATGATGACATTTATTCAATACATACATTTCAACAGAGCGAACCAACAATACACTATAAATTATATCTCATTCAAATTGCATAAGCCAATTGATTACTAGTAAAAACACTTTGTAGTGTTAACCCAGATCTTATTTCAGTATTTCAAACTCTGGTACACTGACCTGTGCAAATCAGGCTAAATTCCATAAACACGATATGTCATGAACAGCTTGAAATTGCTTGGCCTAATTAAATAGTTATAGATTCTATTTTTTATCAAGCCTAAAATGCACATTAAAACATCATTAAAAGAAAAATAAAATGAGGTTTTGCACTAGTAAGTTTCTGTGACATTAACCTGCTCTTTTTCATTTCCAACTGTCGAGGGATCTTAAACGTGCACAGCCTGTAGCACACTGGGCCTCGGTTTATTGTCCCATCCGAACGACTAGACGCTTTAGGCATGTCAGCCAACATAGACGGATGACGGGATGGTCAGAATGCATCAAATCGCGTGGGTGCATTAAAATTAATTATGTATTATCAATTCTTCCTAAACGTGGAAAATCTTTTAGCAAAAGTCAGACCTGTCTGCTGTCTGTCGAGGTTATCTGATTTGATCATTAAAGTGATCCCGATTCTGAAGGATGAAGCTTGACCAATTTATCCCTACTGATGATAATAATGATTTCGAATCTCAAGTGCAGATCAACTCGTTTATGTCAAACGAGAGTAGGTAGGGTTATCTGGTATAAATGAAGTTCAGTTTATCTACGAGCTCTATCGTCAATCGGCCTACGTCAATCAGAAAGTATATTATATATCTCTTTTTTATCAACTGTGATCTACAGAAACATTAACTCAGTAAAGATTACCTAGTTTTTTAAAACATACTTTAAGCACGTTTGCTGTTATATCAGGGCTTTTCACCTTTTTTTTACGTAAGACTAGGAAGACATTTAACACCTTTTAACCATGGTAAAAACATTGTATCACGCTGATAAAAATGAAAATTTGAAAAAAACACCCTATCCTTATCACACCAAATACTTTGGGTTTTGTCTACATCTTTATTTTATTAATTCTTTTATATAAACACAGATACAGGTTTTTTTCCTTTATATGATCCCAGTTATATAGACATATCGAATGTTATCACAGGTTAAAATAATATGAATTATTGCATCTATATCTTATGCAGATTTATCGTCCGAACAAGAAATTGATGTTAAGCCTATACTTACGGTCTATTCATGTCATAATCTAGTCTGCCAAATAAAAGAAAGAGAGTCCGACAAACTTCCCTGAAGTAGTGTTACAGATATCGGCCAAGGGTGGACGTTAACTTCATCTAACAATCAACAAGTAGTAACGAAATGTTTTTAAGGTTTGCTAACTAACCTTTGTCATCTTGGAATATGGGAATTAAAGGATATTTCCATTGTTTGATGTAATCCAATACCAAAAGAAATATCGTTTCATGTATTTAGTTTCATATGCCATATCAAATACACATTTCAAAGAATTATCATGTATCTCAAACTTTTTCCGATAACAGATCTAGATCATAATGAACTTAATAATATTATCATATAGTTGGTCTTACAGCTAATCATTTATTTATCGACATTGTTTCACTGGGATTTCAAGACGACATTATTATACGATTCATTACAGACTATCCTTTCATTATATCATTTATTGATGCCAAGTCATAATTCACATGTCCATTGAGATACCAGAAAGACAATAGACAATAAGTGAAGCAGGATAGAAGTTTATGTCTTACTTTTCTGATAATGTTTTACCAGTAATTAATAACATTGGAAATAAAGAATCTAATGGTTAATCCATGTTTATCTTAATTATATACTTGAAATTTAAACAACAAAACACTTTCATTTGATACACATACAGAATAAAGGACTAACTTGATTTCCGGAAAACAAAACAATTAATAAAACAATACATATTTATACCAAACCATATTACGTCAAGGTAGGGGATATTAATATGGTTCAAAAGATTCCCTGTACAGTTATCAACTTCCAGCAAAAATGAATTAATTTCAGTTGGATCAAATTCAGACATTCAAAACTTCAAAGATGTCATCATAAGATTAAATCTGAGTTATCTCAATGTTTGTAATAGAAACAGTGGTCAACATATTATGAATTCTTATATCCACAACTTAAAATCACATGGACTTATCAATCATCAGTCAATTTCAGTGTTGACCATATTTCATACTGGATCGTCGTTTGTCCAGTCAATCACGTGGAAAATGCATGAAAATTCAAAACTAAAAATATACAGCGAGTTTTTTCTAAATTTGGATCAGAATGTTTTTAAGTACCTCTAGGCTACAATAAATGTTTACATCGAACACAATTGACAAGTCACACTCAAGTCAATTCAAAAACACGTGAATCATAATATCTTCTTACCATTATCTCTTTATAATACACCAACAACTTTATCTTTCTGGTTTACATTTTATCATAATATTATCCTATATCACACAATCTTCAACTTTTATACAATATCTTTATATCAAGTAATAGTTCATACGATATTTCAATAAGTAAACCAAACCGACTGGTCTTTAACGATCAAGACCAAAACATGGTATGTCAATCAAACATACAGATCGATTCCTATTGGACAGGTGGAAGAAGGCAGACCAAAACAAATTGATGTAAACACCATTCTATTCACTAAAATCATTTATTAATACAAAATATAATTAGAAGTTTCTAAATATAGAGACGATCAATATCGTATATAATGTACATCTAGTAAGAAATTCATTAATAAATTCAGTCCTGAAAAACTTTTTTACCTAATACTGAAAAATCGTCAGTCATTTTATAGAAGAATAACAGAAATTAACAAAAAGACAACAATAAAGTCAAACTCTAATTCCTGGTCCGATTTTCAATGTTCAAAAGAGATCAAAACATTAAATGAAGTGTTGGTTTTTATGAGGTTAATAAAAGTGAAGATTTAAGAAAAATATTGTAAAAAGAGACGTCCTTGCTGACACACTCTTCGACAAAAGCTAATTTTACACTGTCAACACATGGCGAACAGCGCTCAATGCTATAAATATGACTTCGTCAAGTCTATAAGACAAAAACCAACGACTACCATTCGACTACCAATCAACAAGAAATACCATGATCAGAACGAGTTTGGAAGAATGAAGGAGACCGAGTAACTCACGCCACACCATCCAGGGCCGAGTTTCACCGCCATGTCATTCGACCCGACCAGATCTAACGAAAAATCAACAACCAAACCAACAACACCGAATCATCCAATTTGATCCAATCCAACTACCAACTACTACGACTACCAACAACTACCTAGTTTGCGATATCAGCATCCGCTGGACGCGAACGTTAACTTGTCATCTACCTACCGTCTATAAGACAGGAACGATTTCAGTAAACACTGTCTCTTTAATCGTGCAATATGCATGATCTGTCAGACATCATTATATCTGTTTTGTTTCTTGGATTCTCATCCGTGATCTGATGAAATTCTTGTTTAATTTTAACCTTATAGCGCCACAGTTGTCATAATTCAAGACAACCCCCTCCCAAGTGGTTGCCTGACAATATACGCCCACAAAGGCGGTCTCAAATCTGTGTCAAATCGTACCAAAAACCAAATTTGTCAAAGATATCGTTCATTTCATCAAACAAAATTCCTAAAATTCTGACATAAAACATCACCTCTATCGCGTTCACAAACCAATCAATTTTGATGCGTTTTTTTAAGTCAATGGCAATAACTCAAATTCCATTCATCCAAAAATCGTCAAATTCAACCTAGACCAAGATCTCATTGTAATAGA